TCTTTAGACTTAATTTGATTATCAATTTGAATATATTTGAAAACTACATGTCTAGTTAGAATTTATTTGTTCTGATTTATATTGTAATATATTTTTTAGTCTTAGTTTAATTTGGTTTCTTATTATTATTATAAATAAAGATGTTTGCTAATTATTTTCAATACAAAGAAATAGATAGATCTTGAAGAGTTTATGAATAAAATATTTTCCTTCGATTTACTATGCAAAGGAAAGATAAGGTATACGTACACTTCATATTTTTCAGATTTCAAGTGTGAAATTACATCGAATATGTTACTCCCTCCGTTTCACAAAGAATGACCTGGTTTGACTTGACACGGAGTTTAAGTAAATAAAGAAGACTTTTGAATCTTGTGGTCCTAAGTTAAAGTTATGTAAAATATACAAAATTGCCCTTAAGTAAAATGTTACCAAAAAAGGAAAGAGATCATTCTTTTTGAAACTGACTAAAAAGGAAATGAGGTCATTCTTTGTGAAACGGAGGGAGTATTATTTTTGTTACGTAAATTTTGAGAATACACATGAGTATGTTTTTTCTTGTTAATCTCATCATTATGGATTAATTATGTTCGAGGCAGACAAATATAAATGATTAATTTGACAAACTATGAGTTTAATAATGATTAAAGAAGACAGGTGTAATTGCTTTTCACTTTTTGTTCTCCTTTTCTTAAGGAATTCCACTTTCTACATTACACGTAGCCATATTCTGACATTTTATTTTACATTTTAAATCACGAATAACTTTTTTTTAAATAAAAAAACTTTATAAAATATTTATTGTACTCCTTTTTGTATAATCACTAGATAATGTTGCCCGTGCTATGCACGGGCCCAATAATATAAATGGTATATTTTGGGGCTAATAACCGAGTTTTTGAAGCGATTGTTTGCGTGGATAAAGGAATAAGTTTTTTTATCACAAATCTGTACTTTCTTTGACGCTATTTAAGGCATAATAAGAGTACTCACATACAACATTTTTGAAATATTTTATGTTGTCAATTATCATGATTTATAGTATTTTTACGATAGATTCACTTCAAGAATCAGTGGAATTTTTTGTATTTTTTTCAAAACATATTTTATATTG